AATTCAAGGAAAATTCAAGACTTTCTTTCATGTTGGTTTGCTTAAGAAATCAATAATATTCTTTAGAGTTACTGCAGGGACTTATGGGTTCAATAGTGTAAGACCTGCCCTTGTACAACAAAGACAATTTACCCTAAATGCCCATTTTGAAATGGTGCCTAGAGATATTTAAGATGATTTTGGGGTTTTCAAAATGGGGTCCAGGGACCCCCAAGAGGCCACAAGGAAGTGCATGGAAAAGTTTAGATAAATAGGAGTAAAAAATGTAAAAAATAAATCAATTAAAATAATATTAAAACAAATAAATGTAACCTTAAAATAGATTAAAATAAATAAATTAGTAAATAAAAAAAATCTAACAGTACTAAAAAATGTAATTTAATAGAAATATTTTTCAAATAATAATTAAGACATTAATATTAATTATTAAGGGCAGACACAAGCACGTTGTATTCCGCTGAGTCGACATTTGTCTTAAGCTGATCCAGGAAGACACAGTTATCACACTAATGAAGTCAACTGACAGTTAATACAAAATCTAAACTTGATATTAAATTATCCTCTGAGTTCAACACACACATACTTCCCGATGTGGTCCACACTCAAATCCCTAAAGAAGAATAAATTCGTGTAGAGCTCTAAACGATTAAATCGGTGAACTAGTGAAATCTGCGACTAGAGGGCGCTCTTGCACATTATCGGGAACAAGCGCTCCATGGAGAAACAGCAGAAATACAGCAGGGGTAACAAATCTCCAATATGTATTAAAAATTATTATTAAATAAAATGCATATTCATATACATTTTCCCAAACACTACACCAGTTACTGTTGCAACAATAAAACTGTAGTTATTTGCTATTAATCACCACTGACCTGGAGGGGAAAAAAATAATATGAAATGGTGAAATGATGGTACACTGCCATCTAAAGGCAGCAATATATTTAATGCACAGTGATGCATTTATAGATGTTAACAAAAATCTAAACTGTAAGATGATGAAACAAGACATTTATTTAACATATAATAAAATTCTAGGCAAGTTTCTTCAGATGTGGTTGACTTTGGAAATGAA